AATCCGCCGCCCTGCTGCTGGCCACCGCCGAAGCCGCCCTTTTGTCCTCCGCCGAAGCCGCCGCTTTGACCGCCGCCGTAACCGCCGCTCTGCTGGCCTCCGAATCCTCCCTTTTGGCTTCCGCCGCCGCCGCCGAAGCCGCCCTTTTGACCGCCGCCAAGTCTGAAAAAAAAAATTTTTTTTAGGCATGAGCGGTCAAGAAAATTTTGGAGAAAAGTCAGCTGAAGAGAAAAACATGAATAAACTATTGTCTGTTCAGACTTTTCTAAAGCCAACAAAAGTTTTCAAGAGGCTCATTAATTGATTTTTCAAAAAAATTTAAGCTACTGTAATATGATACGTTTTTTGTTACATAAAAAATAACACACATTCACAATTATTTTCAAAGCTTTTCTTATTACACATACAAGTGTATACTGTATTTTGATTAAGTCTTCATCTGTGAGTTTGGTAAAAGTTTTCAACTAAAGGGGTCTGGAAAATGTCAATTAAACCCACCATAAAGGAAAATAAAACTGTTTGAAGGGGGACTTGGCTAATGGAAAATTTACTTACAAAATTGAATAAAAAGTCTTTTTGTGAGAAAATTTGTTTAACCTGGTTGGTTAGCAGAAATTGGTGAAACTGGGTATGCACAAAGGGAGAAAACACTGTAATATAAATCCTGTCCTGACATTTCTGTCAGAAAAAAAATCTGACAAAGATGAAAGTAATTCAGACCCTCAGATTCATCATCCAAGCAGTCATGCACAGACCATCTAATATTTGAAAACTGAGAGATTAAAGCTGAATTCAGACTTTCTGAGTGGCTGTACTGTACTGTATGGTATAACTTAACAACAGGTTCATTTAATGCAGTCTGTGAATTCAAGGTCAAGGTTTTCTCTTCAAAGGAACTCAGACAAAGTTCCAATTCATCTTTTTCAGTTCAAGTTGACTTCATAAAAACTCAGCATATGAATTTATGGTCAAGGTTTCCCACTAATAATTCAGACAAAATCACAACTCCTCTTTTCCTGGTCAAGTTTAGTTCTGGTAGATTTCAGGGTTTTCTTTATTCCAGTTTCAATAATTTTTTGAATCAACCTTTCATCAAATATGAATGAATCCCTCAGGGTTTACAGGAGATGTTTTCTGTGGCCAGAAAAAAAAAATCAGATGGTTTTTTTTCATGTGCTTGTGATATTGTCTGACAGCATCAGAACTGAGGATATCATTTCCTCATGTTGTGGAAGTGACTTATTTTAAAAACTTAATTTTGGCAAGGCTTATATGCTGGGAAAGCAGCAATTTTTGGTCAGCAGCACAGCAGTAGTTGGCACAATAATCAACTTGTGCAAAAATTGGGGTGATCAGAAAGCCCTGTTCTGTGTGTGCATAATTGAGAAAATGGAGACAGAGGCTCCATCTGTGGGATGATGAAAAAACTCATCTTTGGCTTGTAATGCGACTCACCCTCCACTGCTGCCGCCACTGCCGTAGCCGCCGCCGCCGCCGCCACCTCCACCACGTCCGCCTTTCGATTGCTGCTGGCCGCCGCCACCGAAGCCGCCGCCTTGGCCGCCCTTTTGTCCGCCAAAACCGCCGCTTTGGCCGCCACCGAAGCCGCCCTTTTGTGCTCCGCCACCTCCGAAGCCGCCGCTTTGGCCGCCTCCAAAGCCACCCTTTTGTGCTCCGCCACCTCCGAAGCCGCCGCTTTGTCCGCCTCCGAAACCGCCTTTTTGTCCACCACCGAAGCCGCCGCTTTGGCCGCCTCCGAAGCCGCCGCCCTTTTGTCCTCCGCCGCCTCCGTAGCCGCCGCCGCCGCCTTGTGACAGTCCTCCGCCGCCACCTCTCTGTCCGCCGCCGCCACCACCGCCTCTTTGTCCTCCGCCACCTCCGTATCCACCACCGCCGCCGCCGCCTCTTTGACCGCCGCCTCCGCCAAAGCTACCACTGCCGCTGCTGCTGCTGCTGCTGCCGCCGCCACCGCCGCCTCTTGAGCGACCTCCACTATATTATAATATTTTTAATTATTTCCACCTTAGTTTTTGAATACGAATTGATCACACAATTTTTCTAATTTATCTCACTGTGAATAAAAATCAACTATAGGGTGGCATTTTTTTTAGCAGGTTAAATTGTCACAGAAGACTCATAAAAAAATCAAAAGCATTTGGTGGGAAATTCATTTGATCAAAACTGGCCAAAATATTTAAATTGTATTCAATGTTTATACAATATCATCTACAAAAAACGAGACACATTTAATAATCTTTGATGTAAATATGACATGACTGCCCTGAAAAAATTAAATTTCAGAGGGCAATGTTAATTTTCTGCAATAATATTGTGCTTTTAAAACTGTTGCAAACTTTCAATTTATGAAACTCACTTGCGTAAAAAATTTTGCGCAAAATTCAGAATTGAACATGAAATGTAACCTGTGTCATCCATGAAACATATGTGTATTAAGAAGATGAAAAATATTTTGTTCTAGTTGCATTTTTTTAAATGTGAAAAGAGAGAATTTGATGTTTGACTCATGATTTTGGAGAATGACTTATTCAAAGTACTGGTGAATAGTTTCATAATATTCGAAGGAATGTTTTTCATTAAAAATCGTTCAAGTTTTAAGCTTTCCCAAGCCAAGTTTTAGCTAAGTTCTCCCGACCAGCGTCCCCAACTCCGCGATTTTAATTTTTATCGCGTAGATGTCGCCTGAGTCGAACTTAACGCATCATTTTAGATTCCATTGATTTGGTGATGCTTATTTTGATGCTATTTTGAAAGGATACCTTTTTATGTGATTTTTAGCCAGACTGGGATTCAAGTGACTTATTATTCGTCATTACATAGATATGCAAATTTGCATTCTCCTGATGAATATGTCAGTATTACAAGAAATTGATCTTTTGAAGTTATCAAATAATCAGTTTGCGTTATTTGATAATATTTTGAAGCTGATTTTCGCTCGTTTCCGGAATTACTTCCCCTGTGCATTGATTTTTTGCATAATCAATCTATTTATTCAGCCTAATATACATTTGAAGTATTAACTTAATTGAACATAATTTAAAATGTTCATTATTTCTGAATAAATGAATACTGATGATACTCACTCAGCAAGTGCGACTGCTGCCAATGTGCAAGCAGCCAATGTAAAAACGGCGAACTGTAAAAAAATAAAATGAAAATTTGTAAACAATTTGTACCGCAACTTTTTTCTTAAAGAATGTTCACCTTCATTTTCGGATGTTCGCACAAAAGAAGAAGAAAAAAAGCAGGTCAAATCCACTCCTTGAATAAATCTGCATAAAAAGAAAAAGGGGTCAATCGATGAGTTTCAAATTCATCACAAATTTAAAAAAAATCAGAAAATATTTCATTCACTCCGCAAAAAAAAATAAATGCATGAATAATTTCCGGGATTTGATTATGAACTCAGTTTTTGGGAATAAGACGAGTCTGCCATTTTTTTTAAAACGCATTCAGCATTTTTGCATCTCAATTTAAAATTTTACTCAATTTTGCAGAAGAAGAAAAGGGCAGGTTTTGTGGTTGAGGCGAGATGGTCTGAGTCGGACTGCGCAGATTTTCGCACAACCGCCAGTCGATTTATATACTCGCCGATTCCGGACTCGTCTTTTTCCCGGGAAACCTTTTCTGCATGATCTTCAATCCTTGTGTGTGTGTGTGTGTGTGGTTTTTTTTTATAAAACAAAAGATACAGTTGATTTAGTTTTGCTCAGTCATTATAAACGTATCGGATGATTTGCGAGGGAGTGAATCGTCGGCAATTTATGGTTTCTTATTTGCAGTCGTTTCAATACGCGGGGATTGTCTCTCACGCGCGCGAGCTGAAAAAAAGGTTCATCACCTGCACCCTTTCCTCATATTCAGTATTGGATAAAATTAAGAGACAAGAAGGAACTTGTTTCGAAGAATTTTTGAAAAAAAAATTTTTGTTTCCTTGAAAATTTGTTCAGTTAAAAATGTAAAATACAGTACAGTGAAATCCCCAGATGCACACATAATTGGTGCATCAAGAGTGTCCCTAAGTTGAAATGTCCCTAAGTCAAGTCTCATTTTCCCTCAGACTTACATTATATAATTTTTAATTGGTATTTTATGTACAAAATACTCACCATAATTCCATGAATGTCTCCCAATTTAAACTGATTCCAATCAATATATTTCAACACAATAAGGGCATTTTGGGAATTGAATACTGATACCTCTATATGCAGTATTGTACATAGAAATGTTGGCATTCTCTGCAAAAATAATATTCAAGTAAAAAAGAGAGAAGGAAGTCCCTCTCTGTTATTGAAGGTAATTTTTTTTAATTAGCTAGATGGATGGTAAATTGGTGAGAGAAATGCCAAAGAACTTTCCTCACATCAATTTTAGGGTTGGAATTATCTGTTTCTTGTAATTTGGCCTGAAATGTATTTGCAATTTTATAACAAAATGTCCCCATGTTGAGTCTGTGTCCTCATGTCAGGCTTTTTTTATTAATTTTTTATGATAAAATAAGTGTCCCTTTGTTGAATTGTATGCAGGTTGAGGTTTCCGCATGTGGGGGTCTCACTGTATTTACATGAGTGTAAGCAGCTTGTAGACTGATTTAGGACTGAGAAGGACAAACAACTTATACTGTACTGCTATTGAATTGAATGGCGAAGCTTTATTTTTGGCTTTTCAGCATTCACAAGGTTCAAGCAATGTTCCCACATCAAAACCCCCTTCCACATTTATCCAAACACATTCCATCACACCAGAATGCAAAACAGAGAAATAAACTGCATATGGATATTAAAAGAAAAGAAAATACATCCCAAAATGTACAATTTCACAACTGATGTAAATATGCACACTTTCTTCCCTTATTCCCTGATAACAAAAACAAAACGTCATACAAATTGAGGCATAAAGCGATTACTGAACCCAAATTGAAGCACAAGGTGTTCAGCCTGTTCCCAGATAAGGTTTATAGTTGATTGAACCATTTGGAGAGAATCTTTGATGAGAAATCATATGAGGTTAACGGTTCATCTTAGTCCTCTAATATTTTGGGAAGAGTCTTTTCATTGAATTTTAAGAGTCCCAAATATTTTTGAAGCTCATTTCTGTAGTTGTGGAATGCTGGGCATGAGAAAAGAAGGTGCTCTGGTGATGCATAAACCAATGTATATACACTGCAAAAAGTACACGACTTAGACATCTTTAAAAATTTGATGAATTTTTTATTAAAATGCCATGAATTTGTCAAAAGAGCTATGGTATCCTGTACCAAGGGGATGTTAAATAATACAAAGAGTTATGGTTTAGTTTTTCCACGAGCAAGATCAGCTAGAAATTTACTTGAATCAACAACGTCACAATTGATAGGCTTCACAAAATCTTGCAAATAAGATACATTTCCAGGTTGGAAGGAACTGCTTGGTAAATAAAAATTTTAAAAACTTGAATGTACTGGAACCTTATTTTGAAGATCATGGATGTTAAATTCCCCTTGGATAACTTTGAGATAACACACATTTGAAAATATAATCTGAAATGTCAAAGTAATAGAGGCAAAACTCAGCTTAATCACCAGCTAGTGTATATAATTTTTCTTCTTGAATTTTGATGGAACTGATTACAGAACTTCTGTTAAGCTATCTTTTTTAATGGGAATTACCAAATTATCAAAGATGCCGATTAAAAAAAATTGAATTTTATTATCATCCAATTGATCTTTTCTTTGAGCCAATTGTCAATTTTTGAGCATGCACAGATTTTTTATGAAATATTATCTGATTTCAAACTTATTCCAAGAAGTTCTTTGCCACCTTTTGAAAGTGCTTTTCAGGTGGATACGGAATTTTTGAAAATACCAAATTCTCTTATCTTTTGTCCCAAATTCTTCAATCCAAAATTCTTCAAATTTTCAGCATGCTCATATATTAAACATTTTTCTGATTGAATAATTAGCCCAAAATTTCCTTTGCCACCTTTTTACATTATTGTCCAGGTTGAATAAACGTTCATGAAAATACCTCGAATCTATAATTCGCAGCAAAGGCTTCTGTTTTTTTTTTTTTTTGGAGCCTCAAATATAACCAAGCATTTTTGTGAAGCAGCTCGTCCTCTTTTTTTCGCCAATATGTGAGGAACATATTTTATTCTTTTGAAAAATATTTGAAGACGATTCGGGGAAGCAAAGGGGTTATCAATTTAATGAAAATCGATATTTTCTTCCTTTTCCGTCAAGGGATTTTTTCTCCCCTTTTGGTTTCTCTCCATCAGTTGATCATGAGCACCTGTGGTGCAAAAAGTCACGCAGAG